CGCGTCTCAGATCGTGGAATGCGGCGTTGGCGCGTGCTCGATCAAAACTTCGGCGACGGTGCGACCGCGAGGGCCCCCCCGAATTCCGACGTGATTTTGCAAGACGGCGGCGCGGCAGCGCGAAAGGCGAAATTGGTTTGAAAGCGTGCGTTTGCCGCAAAGACATAGTCCGCGAGCAGTGTTAGTGTCGGCGAGGGCGGGGGCAGCGCTGCGTCGCGCATTCTCGCCCGCGGATCCGACGTGGACTTCGCCTCGGACGATGACTTAGGAGGCGGCGTCGAGAGTCCGGCCAGACTCGCCGGGGCGAGGCCGAGCGCTCTCAGGCTCAGAGAGATGGCGGCGGGGTTCAACCGCCGCATGTCGCATCTCCCGCTGGGCAGGGAACCGCGCCAAATCGCGAAGCCCGTGGGCTTCTTTGCCCGCGGCTGGGCGCATGCGCTCGTTGCGCATGCTGCAAAAACACCGCGCTGAACTTGTCGATGCCAAGCTTGCCGGCTGCGGGCGCAAGGGTTGCGCCGCAGGGCGCGCGCGATCTTCGGGCGGGGGGCGCGCCCGCAAAGGCTGGGCGCGAGGGCGGCCGCCCTCGTCGCCGAATCCGCGCCGTCAAGATGGAAATCGCGCGCCAGTGCAAAGCGCGCGGAGTGCGCTGCGTCTGAAGCGGCGCCAATGCCCGGCACGATCGCGCATCTCGCGCGGCTTTCGCGGCTCATAGCAGGCTCCGGCGTCCAAAATGCGACGCGCGCCCCCGCCGCTCGGAGCAACCCCGGTCGCCGCGCCGCGCGGCGCCGCGCGCGAGCGTCGGGCACCCGCGCCCGCGCGCGCAAGCGCTCGCAGGCTTGCCGGGGCGCAAGCTGGGGGGGCTGCCCGCGCTAAAAGTTCAGCGGGGCCCTGCGCCCGGCGCGGGGGCGCAGGAGGTTCGGCGCTTTACTGCGCTGCTGGGCGCGCGAGAGGAAGCGCGAGATGGCCATGCCTTGCCCTCGAGAAGCGTCGTGGATTATGGAATCGGCCTCGCTGCTGTCTCGCAAGACAGACGCGAAGTTGACATCGCGCCCCCCCCCCGCCCCGGTCTCTCGGAACCCGCGCGCGACGCGACGCCCGTGGAAGTTGGCGCCCTCTCCCAGGCATCGCGGCCCTGGACGGTGAGTTCGACCCCGCGGCCGCGCCGCGGGCGCCGAGGCCCGCGGCGGGCAACGCGACAACGTTCATCTGCTCTGATTTGAGTCTTCCCAGTGAGCGGCGCACGATCTGCTTGACTGCGAAGTCGGCTAGGGTCTCTCCGGTGGGAAAGATAGGGCGTTCGGTTCGCGTTCTCCCTCTCTGCTCCTCTGTGAGCCGTCTCGGAACCCCATTGGGCCGTCGCGGGGCCCTCGCAGGGGCCTCCCAGGCAATTTTGGGCGGTCCACAGGGCCTCTTGGGCCGGGCTCGCGAGCGTCGGCGGTCCGTGAGCGCGAGCGTCCCAGTAAGATTGGGGGGTCAACGGAAAAATCTGATTATTGCTTCCCGCGCCCCTGTTGGGAAGGCCCCCGGGGCGTCTCGAAGGCGTCTCGGGGCGCCTCGGAGCCGTCGCGGGCCTCCCGACCAGTCGATCCGCGATTCGGGGCCTTCTTGCAGCGTCTGTGATGCCGCGGAAGGCAGATGCGGAAGCAGCTCGGGCTTCTCCGCGGGCGCGACGACGGCCGGGACACACCCCCCGCTGGGCGAAATTCGGAGCCTGGGGGCGGGGGGTGGCCGATCGTCTTTCGGATTCTGACCTTCAGGGCGGGCAGCCCATGCTGGGGCAGGTTTCGTTTCTTGCCGAGGCGGTGGTCGAGCCGCGTGCTCTGGTCGCCACTTGGCCCATATTGGATGTCCGGGATTAAGTAGAAATTGTCGCGCGCTCGAGGAAGCCCGCGGCTGCGCCCGGTGACGAAGGCACTGGGGGCCGCGCCGTTCTGGGGGAGATCGGACGGGCGCGTGCTTGCCATCGTGCATAGGGTCGAGTTATATTGGGTTGAGCGGGGGCGAGCGCCCATGCAATGCGCTGCCGGAAAACGCGCGCCAACCGTGGATTTTAAGGCGGCCCCGCGACGTCGAGTTGTTCCACCGCAACAAATTAGCGGGCCCGAAGGTCATAATTTCGCTGCGCTGCAAAACACGAGCGATATTTGCGCTGTCCATCTCAACGCCTGAACGCAGTGCCGCGCGACATGATGCGCGCATGTGTCTCGCGGGCGCGCGGGCATTCGCGCTGCGCTGGCAATGAGCGAGTCCAACCGCATTGCGCTCAGCGCTGCATGTTCGCGCGGCTGGCCTGCGGGCGTCGCCCGGGACCCAGGCTGACATGTGCGCTGCAAGGACAAGAGTGCACATCGCGAATCTAGGCGAAATTGCCCATCGCCCTGTCCTGGGCATTTTCTGAAACCTCCGCGCCGACAAACATATGCCACAGTCAAGTTCTTCAATCATTTCATCGCACTTTAGTATGCACCTAAAGCGATCTCGGATTCGTGACAAGTACACCTAAGTTTTATTGGCATGCAGCTACGTCTAGTATCTGCAACTTTAGGGCGAAGCCACAATCATTCAAATGGCGGGCCTCGCTGGGCCTCCGCGTCGTCAGGAACGAACTCGGGATGAAAGGTCGGCCTCGAGGCGCTCTCGCCACCGCTTGAGTCATGGATCGCGGGCGGTGCGTTCGAGGCCCTTTTTTTCTCCCCGCCGCGCCCAGACCGCGGGGGCGATCCTGGCCGAGGCGCCCTGGGCGTGGAGGCGGGAAGTCAGCGCGCGCCCATCTCGCAGTTGCGGAAAATACGCACGCGCGCTTTTCGCGCTCGGGATGCAGAGGCGCCGCGCACTCAGCGGGCGCCCGCTGCGAGACCGCCGACCACCGGTCATCGTGCTAGCGAGCTCCCAGACTTTACTGCGCTGCCTGGGCCCCATGCCCGCGAGCTGCTCGGGGGGCGATGGCGCCGGCCACGAGGCGCCCCGAGCGTTGGTGCAGAAGCCTCTCTGTCAGGCCGCCATGTCCAATGCCAGATCAGCGAGTATGACCCACCCCCAGATCCTGACTGCCACTCCGCCGCCGCCGGATACATTGGCTCAGTTGTCGCCCCGGGCAAAATCCCATGGAGCCCGAACGGCGCGACTGGTATATGCGCGCTTGTCTGCGAAAATTTTCAGACATATATGCATGCGCGCGCATGCATTGGCAAATGCGCCTGACCTGCACGCAAGCAAAGAATGCGTTGGCCATTCCGGTCGACGAGTAAGTAGTTCTCGTTTTGCCAGGTAACTGCGCGCGCGTGCTCGCGCGACTGCGCGCGCGCGGCGGCGCCCAGTTCTCGCGCGTGGTAGTCTTTGGTGTCTGGCGGGCCTCCCGCGCGCGGCGCGCGGGAGATGTTTTTTCTTGACTGGATAACGCCTTTGGCCTCCGCGGCCAGCTCCGCCAGGCCGCCGCGGGCTCGGCGGTCTTCGCGGGCGAGGCGTCATGGCCTTGCCCTTCGCGGACAGCTCGCTGTCCCGCGCAGACTGGGCCAGGACCGCTACGCGCGCGGCGGCCTCGCCCCTCGCGCGCGGTTTGTTTCCCGACAACGAAAGCGCAAGGCCGCCGCGCGCGCGGTGGCCTTTGCCCTGGGTGCGCTGTGCGTTTTTCCGTTCAGAACGGCCCAGGGCCGCCGCGGGCGCGGCCGCCGTGCCCTTTCGTGCACGGTGCGTTCTCCTACACAGATTGGGCGAAGGCCGTAGGAGAAGGCTGGCACGGTGTTTTCTCTGCACCGCTGAGGGCGCGCATGGTCCTACAGCGCGGTCCCGATCCGCTCCAGGTAGCAGGGCGCATCAGCTGTCGCTGGGCGCGTCAGGTGTCGTGTGGGAGGGTGCGCAGGGTGTGGTCCCTGAGAGCAGTCTCTATCCACGCCAGGGTCGCAGGGCGTGGCAGGCGTGGTCTGACGTCTACAAATGTAAATATGCGCATTACAGCGTTGGGAAGGACATTGCTTTATATGTTTCCATCACATTGTTATATCTATATAAATACACGTTTGCACAACAAATGTTTATAGACACTCAAGTCTTGGGTCTACGGAGGTTTCGCGTTTTGTCGACTCAACGGCGACACCGTCGTGGGCGTTCACGGTTGATCGCCGCTAGTGACCCAGCATCGGCCAATGTGGATCGAGTTGGCGACCGAAATGCTGCCGATCGTTGAAAGTTAAACGGTCCACGTGGTGACACAAACCACAGCCGAAGTCGGCACGACGCAAACTTGCCGTAACCATGATGGTATCATTTTTTTGTCCGGCGGAGTTTTCCATAGCATATATCCATTTGCCTGCCAACAAGGCATGGAAATACCCAGCGATAGTTCAGCCAGCTTTCGCGGCGTTGGCGATGCGGTGCAGTGCGATGCAAGGCCGGCCCCTGTGGGAGGGGGAGTGACTTTAAAAGCCTCCTTTTGGGAAAACAAGACATCCGATGCGTGGGGTTTCACCGATTTCCGAGTTCCCCTCGAAAATCAGGCCGCGCATGAAAGAGGGGGGGGCGCACCCAGGGAGACGCCCCTGAGGGGCTGGGCTGTTCGGGTACAACCATATCGAGGGTGGGCGTTCCCCCATCGCATGGATCCCCGATATTGGCTCCTGACTTCCGCGCAGGCTAAGGCCCGCAAAGTCAAGGACTGGCGTCGCAGGTCCGCGTGGATTTCCTGGCTTGGCGCCAGTCCCCCGGTTCATTCCGCGTGCCACATCCAGCGCTGGCCCACGAGGCCCATGTAGTTTGCTTGGACCTCCGAACGTGTGCGCCGAGTGCAAATTTTATACAAGTGAAACGCACGTTTAATTAACATCACAGCGCTGCCGGTGGCTGGGAACAGATCAGTGCCACAAGCGTCGCGTTTCCTGCGAGCGGCCTGCAGGCATTCGTTTGTTGCCTGATCTACCTGCAGCTCGTGCTGGGGAAACGGGATACGCATACACACGATAAGTAATCACTGTCTGCTTCTCTCTCTCTCTCTCTCTCTTCTGGAGGAGCCGGCTGAGGGCGACGCGACGCCGTTCCGCGTCAGGAACACCTTCATCGACCCCGTGGTGAAGCGGACCCCCTCCCTGGAGGACTTTTTCTGCGAGCGGGCGGTGCAGACCTGCCCCGGCAGCCAGGCGGGGCGGCGAGTGAAGACGGGGTCATCTGTCAGAGCGTGAATTACCTACCCCGCTTTCGCTTCCCGGGAAAAAACAAGTCATGCCACGCGCGCGCCTCGTCGAGCGACCTGACCAGTACAGGCCGTAGTTTGGCATCGCTTGGTATCTCTTGGAAGCGAGGGTGGTCAAAAGCGAGGTAGGTTTTCACCACCCACCAAACCACCCCAACCCAATCCGAAGGCCTCAATTTGTCCTCCATTTCCAGTTGGGGGGGGGGGTCTGGGAACACTGAAAACACACATATGGAACGCGTACCCCCCCCAACCCGAAATTGGGGTCTTCGGGTTGGGTTGGGGTGGTCTGGTAGGTAGTCAGGTTTGTTTCCCCCCCAATCCGGGCGGGCCTTCGCGCGGCAGCTGCCCGCAGCAAAGGCCGCGCGCGAGCGCCCTCGCCTCCAGTGTGCAGCGTGCCGCCTGCCGCCCGGGCGGCCCGCGGAGGCCACCGCGGAAGGTCGCCATCTCGTCCCGCCCCCGGGAAGCAAGCAGTAGCTCCCCCCGTCACTCCTCCTCCTCCTCCTCCTCCTCCTCCTCCTCCTCCTCCTCCTCCTCCTCCTCCTCCTCCTCCCCTCCTCCTCCTCCTCCTCCTCCTCCTCCTCCTCCTCCTCCTCCTCCTCCTCCTCCTCCTCCTCCTCCTCCTCCTCCTCCTCCTCCTCCTCTTCCCTCGCCATATGCCGATCCTCCTCCTCCCCTCCTTCCCCCCCGTCCCACACCCTCACCTGGCATCGCTCGGACGTGTGTATTTTTTTCTCGGCGAGAACCATCGAGGACCATCCTGGACCATCGAGCAAAAAAATCAAACACGCACGAGACCTAAAAATGCACGGGAAATGGACGTCCGAGCGATGGCAAGCTCATCGGAGGAAGCTATCACGCTTCTGGCGCGGGGCCGGGGCGGAAGCGACATGCCCCGCAGAGGCCCGTGAGTCAAGAGCCCCTGGGCGGGCAGAAGGAGCGGGCAGCGGGCTCCGACGACGGGCTCCCTACACTCGGGGGCGGAAAAGAGGGGGCTGATGACTAGGGGGGGGTGGATATCATGGCGGGAGCCATGATTTTCCTCAGATTTCATGGCGCCTCTTCTTATTTCATTACGTCCCTGGCCCCCCCGCTGGGCCGCGCACATGTCGCCGGTCACGATTTGCACCCCCCTCTCTTGGACACACCCTTCTTGGCCGCACCCGAGAAATCCTGCCCGAGATGGGTGGATGGAGAGTCGCGCCGGCTTCGAATGCATGAATCGAGGAAACGTAAAACTCGAGTAAGCCGAAGCTCGGGTTTACTGACCTTTTTTGACGAGCGCGTCGTGGATTTTGACGGTCCGGTTTTCAGGGGAGATGCTTGCAGCGGGAGCTCGCGTCATATTTCAGATTGGGCTTCGTCATTTTTATGATGGCCCCGTCGGGCCAACCCGAGTCCCCCGTACCTTACGTCTCCGCGAATGGAGCGTCTTCTTTCTGGTGAATCCAAAAGGGGATCCAGCGAAAAGGGGGTGTTGCAACAGATTTGGTGCAGTAGATGTGCGGGGGTTGCAGCAGATCTGGGGTGTGCAATACATTCCCGGGCGCAGATGTGTCGCCGGATTTTCGTGTGTAACACATATAGTTGCAATACAATGCAATACAAGTCTCTGGGACAATACAATGGCAACTCACATGCCCAAAATCTATTGCACCACCCCCTTTCAGATGGACCCCTTTTTGGTCACGACCATTATGGTCGCATGTGAGCGCCTGCGTTTACAATGTACTGTGCCCGCGTAAGCCATCGTGTGAGGTTGTTATGTCATTGTCAATCGTGGAGCAAACAACGGAATAAAGAAGCACTTTCAGAGGTCCGCGCTGATGTCTCGGATCGGCGCTGGACCCCCTCCCTGGCGCGCGGAGCGCGCCAGGGGTGGCGCCAAAGGCGCCGCCAGGGGCTTCAGCGCCGATCCCAAAAATCCGAGCGGACCTCCGAAAGTTTATGATGATTGCTTGTTCCCCTAACAACACACCCGTCTTCTTGTCGTCGCTCAGGTCCAGGGGCAACGATAGGGGGGGATACACTTCAGGCGATGCTTAAGAAAACTTAAGTTTTCGGCCAGAGTCTCGATTTTTCTTAACGTTTCAATGCAAATCTTAAGATGTTAATGGAACTGTTGGGTTTTTACTCACGTTCTGAGACTATTAATTTCTTAACCCATGATTTCTTGAGCATCTCGCATGGTGTAGGTGCAGGGGGGATGCATCGACCCTCCACCGCCCATGGATCGCCGAGGGGGGCCCGGGAGCCCCAAGCCGCTCATGGAGGGTGCGGCTCCGCTCGCGGAGACCCGTCGCCGTTCTATAGCGACGACGTATACAGTCGAGACGCTGCAGTAGGGAACTGTTGGGGTTCGGAAGGGGCTCGATGTTCCCCAGGCTCCTCCATGCTGGGTAGTCGAAGGCCAGACTGTCGGACTGAATTGGGCCCCAAGGCCCAAGGGCCCGTTCTATAGCGACGATGTATACAGTCAAGACGCTGCAATAGGGATCTGTTGGGGTTCGGAAGGGGCTCGATGTTCCCCAGGCTCCTCCAGTCTGGGTAGTCGAAGGCCAGACTGTCGGACTGGATTGGGCCCTTAAGGGCCAATCTGGCCTGGCCATGTGGGAGGATCTGGGTCACTCGCCGGACTGGACTCGTGTTGGCTCCCTCGCCAGATTGCCCCCGTTTGCCAGATTGGGGCTGCCAGATTGGCTTCGACTATTCAGAATAAGGAACTGTTGGGGTTCGGAAGGGGCTCGATGTTCCCCAGGCTCCTCCATTGCTGTCCCTCCCGCCCTCCCTCGGGCGTCGAGGCGCTTTTGGGGCCAAAAAAAAGGGGCTTCGTTCCTCACTTAGCGCCCCTTCTTTCGGCGGCCCGACTGCACCGCCGCTTCCAGGTCGATGCTTCCTCCCCCTGTGCCAGCGCCCCGGCTCGTCGCTGCCCCATCGCCAGGTGGGGCGGCTGGAGGGCCTCTTCCAGGAGGAGGGCCCGCTGCCGCCCACGCCCACCAGGCTGGCGAGCACCCCGGCGGCCGCGCCGCCGTCGCCGGCCGGCGGCGCGGACCCCTGGGGCCGGAGCGCCGGCTTCGGCGCCTCGCCCACGGCGGACGTACAGGCTGGAGTTATATATATATATATATATATATATATATATTTGTATACCCATACGTATATAAATATATACATATGTATGTATGTATATGTGCATTTTTGTTATATATATATATATATGTATATATATATATATATATATATGCGAGAGTCCTGAGAGGTAAAGCCGGGGCCAGGACAAACGCTCGCGCCGGAACAAGAGTCTCGACGCCAGGTGTCAGGGCCTGGTTTGGGGCCTCTGCATGGGGGCCGTCGCCGGGCCACGGGACGGTCAAAAAACGGCTCGGGACGAATAGTCGGTCCTGGGTCAGGGGTCGGGGAGCCCGTATGGCAAAAAACAGGACATCGCATGTCTGAAACTCCAGGGAGGTAAAACTGAGGCCAGACACATGTCCGCTATATCATGCTAGGTCGGTTCACCACTCCATTACAACTGGAGGCTCAAGCACAGTAGTTCACAGATCTATAAGTATAAGTATATATGTACATATATATATATATATATATATATATATCCCCCAATCAGAGCTTGCCTCGTCCTAGCGGATTCATATGGTTAGGTTATTAGGTTTGTCGCCGATTTTCGCTGCACGCCCGGGTGCCCGGGTGCCCGTGGGTGCCCGGGGCCCGGGTGCCCAGGGGGTGCCCAGGGGTGCCCGGGTGCCCCTGTGCCCGGGTGCCCGGGCGTGCCCGGGGGTGCCCGGGGGTGCCCTATAGCCCTATAGCCCTACAACTCTATAGCCCTATAGCTCTATAGCCCTATAGCTCATTAGCCCTATAGCCCTATAGCCCCCTAGCCCGATAGCCCTGTTTGGTTTTATTCTCCGGTATCTGATGTTTCAGCACCTGTTGCTTGCAGAATCGGCCACCTAATTTATAGTTTGTCCAATGGCGTTTCTGCGAAGCCCCACTGGACAGGGCCTGGAAACCTCAGTGTACATACGCATGGTTCCTATCGAAACTCTAGACCTGTTGAATTCGGGTCCGAGTAGATGGGATTTGGAGTCGGCTGGGGGTCTGAGGTAGCGCAGCACTGACTCCGCCCAGCAGGAAATAGGAGAAGCGGTTCGAGGTTCTGGGTTCGAGAAGGTTTTTTGATTTCGAGGTTCTGGGTTCGAGGTTGGAGGTTCTGGGTTCGAGAACGTGTTTTGAGTCTTTCGGCCTCTGGGGCCGTTTTCGGGCTCCAGGACCATCAAGAACGGATCTGGGGTGAAAAAACACCAGATGGATTCTGGGAAGGGTCTGAGGTGTTTTCAAGCGGATTTGCCCTAATCCCCCCTCTTGACCCAACCACTTCAGACCCCCCAGCCGCTTCCAATGTGGGGTCGAAGGATCGCCCTGCACCGCCTCCGACTCCGATGCTGCTCGAAGGCGGATCCACATCTCCTTCACGTCGACGTCTTCGATGCATCGCCGGCGTCGCCGAGGCATCGCCGATGCGTTGCCGACGCATCGTCGATGCATACAGCCGGGGCCCTGAAGAAGGAACCCTTTTCGATGGGGAGGGGCTCGGTGTTCCTTGATTGTTCGACAGTTTGCCTTCTGTTTTCCTGAGGTTTTCCATGGGAAGTCGAAGTTCAACTTATGGGAGAAAGGGGCCCTGTTCCTTATTTTGGGATCCTTAGGTCAACGCCCCGACTGTAGTCGATGCGGCGCGAGCCTCCGACCCGATCTACTCAGACCCTGTTGGGGAAGCCTCCAAAAGCTCCTGGGAGGTCAAGTTCCGCAACGGCGCTGGCCCAGCCGTGGTCAGGCACGGGCCTTGCGTCGGGCCTGTCCCTCTACAGGGGGCACATTCAGAAATGGTCAAACAATAGTCTGGGCACGATGTTTACACGTATGTTTAAGCATTTGTGGCGTATGTGTTTTGACTATGTTGTATGTTCCGTCCAGAATCCGCCTGTGGGGAGGCATACCCGACCTAGCACTGGCCTAATACGGGACAAACCCTCTCCATCCCACTTGGCCTGATTTGATTCAGGGCTCCGTCTGGTTTCATCAAGGGCGACCAGGACCTCTCAGTAGGCCCCACGAAAGCGACGGCAAAAGACACGTCCCTGGCCGCGGCCCCGCAGGCCTGGGCCGCGACCCCGCCGGTGCGGGGCGCTTTCTCGCGGATTCCCGCGCGGCTCCGTGGGATCGCGCCCCGGAGCCCAGGCCGCGAGGCCGCGCGGATATCGATGGGTTCGCCGCCCGCGAAGCCCGGGACAGAAACGAGGCAACGGCGGCGGCATCGGGACCTTCTGCAAGTCGGAGGTGGATAGACACCTCCTGCCAGGACACGTCGATTCAGGAATTGGCCGTTTTCGGCTCGCGAGAGGGCGTCTCGGCCCAGGCCGTTTTCACTAAGGGGAGGTTTACTAGAGGGAGGTCTGTCCACCGCCGACTAAGGTCCGACGCCGCGGGAAATTCTGGCATCGCAGAACACCGCGACAAAAGCTGGCCAGGGCCGTGAGAAGCTCACGGCCGTGGCCAATTCTTCGAGCCGTGTCGCTCCATGAGGCTCCTGGGGCCCGAAGCTTGGCGGAAGCGCCAGGATCCCAGACCCCCGACGTCGCGTTTCTGTTCACAACGTCGACACCCAGATTTCTCGACGCCTACCCCGGGACCGGTGTTCCATCCTTTGAGCCTGTTTTTTTAGACTCTGGCAAGTTTACTTGCATGGACGGGGGGGGGGGGGGGCTGAGCCTGAAGCAAGCCCGGGGGGGGGAGCGCGGAAATCACGCAAGTCGAAAGGCACTTGCACGCTAGTATTCGCTTGAAGAGGGGCGAGGGGGGGGGGGGGGGCGAACGCCATGCAAGTAAACTTGCCCGAATCCAAACAAAAAAAACAGGCTCGTTGTGGACGGCCCCGGGGCCCAGGAGCGGCCCCCCCAGATGGCGGACTATAGTCCAGCACCCTCGGCCAGGGACCACCCCCATGAAAACACTCCCTCCCGAGGTCGACCTCGGGCGGGCGTTGGTGGGGGTGGCCCGTGTGGGTCCGTGCATCCATGGATCCACGTGGCTTCCTCATCTTCCTCCTCCTCCTCGCCTTCTTCCTACTTCTCCTTCCTCCTCCTCCTCCTCCTCCTCCTCCTCCTCCTCGTCGGTCTTCTCCTCTTCCTCTTCCTCCTCTTTCTCCTCCAACTCCTCCTCCTCCTCCTCCTCCAACTCCGTGGATCCACGTGGGTCCGTGGATCCACGGGCCCGAAACCTGGCGAAAGTCGGGGGCGGAAAAGAGGGGGGGTGATGACTAGGGGGGGGGGAGTTCATGGCGCAGGCCATGATATTTCGCCAGATTTCATGGCGCCTCTTCTTGTTTCATTACGTCCCTGGACCCCCCGCTGGGCCGCGCACATGCCGCCGGTCATGATTTGCACCCCCCCCTCTATGGACACCCCCCTCTTGGCCGCTCCCGAGTGTTGATGGGGGTGGTCCGTGGATCCGTGGATCTGTGGATCCACGTGGGTCCGTGGATCCACGGGCCCGAAACCTGGCGAAAGCTCCAGGATCAATGCAAACGGGGTTCAGCCAGGGCACCAAATCCTGCAGGATCCTGCGAAGACCCCCTCTGGCTGACCCGGGTCAGCGAGGCGCTCGTGGCCGCGAGGCGGCGGCGCATGCTGGCTGACCCGGGCTTGCGAAGACCTGCGCTGCAGTTTTTATGTTCCCGCATTGGAGTTTTTGGGCTTCCTGCTGACCCGGGTCTGGATTGACCCGGGGTCAGCAGATCCCCGAAGAGACATCGCGACGACATGGTCCTGCCTCTTTCAATGCAGGGTCCCCAGAAGGCTCGACCCCTTCCCCCGGACCCGTTTCTCATCCTGAGTCTTTTTTTTTAGCGGTCCTGGGGCCCGGCGAGGGCCCCTAGACGCCGAAACCTGCGAAAAACCTCCGTCTTGATTTTGTTCACGACGTTGGATCTCTGGGAACCTGGCGAAAGCTCCGGGACCCGAGAAATCGGGACGCCGTGATCTCCCGGCCCTCCTGCGCAGGCCGGCGCCGATCGCCTCGGCTGGTCTGGCTAATCCGGCGTAGTCCTTGTGAATCTGGCTCAATCCCGCTGAATATCCTGCTAAGTCCGAGGCCCACTCCGGTGCAACAGCTCCCAAATGGGGCCTAATATTCCCTCATCTTTCCGACGAAAACCTCCAAGCAGTGGCGAAGCGTCCCGGCTCGCCTATGAGCCCCACCAAGCAATGTTCTAAGAACTTTTTTGTGGTTCCCACGAAAATGT